TGGCGCAATTTTTGAGTACTATTGCGGGAATGCCATCCGGACCCATTGCTTTGTTTGTATCCAGCTTTTTTAGGGATTTTCGTATTTCTCTGTGACAAAAGTGTACCTCTGGCATACTATGGGAAACCCTTTCAATGAACGGTGGAGTTTTTCCGTTTGGCACTGTTAGGTTGGAGTTGGAGGAAAACATTTGGGCAAGCATATTGGCTTTTTCCTCTGATGTTGTGGCTAAGTGATTATTTTTATCTGTAAGTGGTGGTATGGATGACTTGGTGAAGTTAGATCCAACAGCTTTTGCAAGAGACCAAAAAGACCTAGAACTACTTGGACAATTCAGCAACCTGTTTTTTATTCTTTGATTGTATGTTTCTTTAGCGGAGTCAATAGTAATTTTGCAACTATTTCTGGCTTCTATAAATTCTGTGTGGTTTTGAGCGGTTTGTTGTCGTTTCCAAAGGTTATATGCTCTGTGTTTTTTCTGTACAGCCGTTTGACACTGGCTGTTGAACCAATAAGGTTTTGCATTAGCTCTACGTTTAGTTGTATGTGGGATATATGCGTCCATTCCAGATAAGATTACTTGTGTTATTTCATTACAGCAAATAGTGGGATCAGCTGTTTTAAAGCAAACCTCTTGCCATGGAAAATCCAGGTAATACTGTTTTAAGTCATTCCATTTTGCCGATTTATAGTGCCACATTTTACGAGGAAGTGGTTGTAGGCTTGGTGGGATGAGCATTTCGCACTTTGTTATTATAAGTTTATGATCGGACGAACCAAGTGGAGCATCTACTTGAATTGTGTACGAGTCAGGATTGGTGGTTAGGAACAAGTCTAAAAGCGCTGCAAATTCGCCCCTTTCTGAGATACGGGTAGGTTCATCGACAAGCTGCGTTAGACCACAACTTATGGCAAAAGCTTCTGCTTCTCTGCCTTCGTTATCTGTTTTGTTGTGGTGTTTCAGCCAGGGTATATTATGGACGTTGAAATCGCCTAAAAAGACAATTTCCGCCTGTGGATAGTTTGACTGTATACTATCACAGCTTTCGGATAATGTCGCGAAAAAGTTTTGGTAATCGGTGTTACTTGGCGGTCGGTAGAGGCAGCAGATAAACTTGGTCGATGACTTTGAGGTGAGTTTTAGCCATATGATATCAAGGTTCGCTGGTTCTAGCTTCTCCTCTCGATGACATGAAAGGTCATTTTTAATGTACACACAGATCCCAAAATTATGTCGAAATCGGTGGTGTAGGTCATAGCCGGGATAAAGATAGTTCACAATAGGTGTTGCAGAACTGATTTTAGTTTCAGTGAGAACAAGGATGTCAGGTCTTTGTTCTTCAAGATGTTGGTGAACTGAATTCATATTTGTACTTATTCCTCTTATATTGCTAAAATCAATTCTGAGTTGAGTTTTTGATCTTTTTATATCTTTGCATGGAGGACCCCCAGGATCACCCGACGCCCGGAGATCCGAGTGGTCGGGTATTTTACCTCCGGAATATTTTGATCCTGGAGGCGCCATCATGCTATCTGTTACTCATTGTTGGAACCGGACTGCCAGCGCAGTAGCGGAACGTGGTGATACCACTTAGCGCTACTCAATTCTGGCATGGTGGTATCTCACCGGTCGACGCCCAATGAGTAAAAAGCGTCTACCACCTACCAATTGTTTTCCTTTTTCCCAAAGTGGGGAATAGAACTGAAGTAATTTAGAAGTCAATATTAGGTTGATAAGGTATTTATAACCAATTGGTCAAAAATACCAAAAAGAAAATATGGTACTGTTTAGGGTATTTTGTGGTAAATCCGCAGACATTTATTCCAATGGTATGACATAAATCTGACCTAAATGTAACAACAATCACCAAAACACGCTCTCCGTCTTTTTTTTTCAGAATAATAGAAACCTAAGAAACCTATTGGTTATAAATATGATGACTGCTGCTGTTTGAGGTTTAAATCTTGCTTTTAGTTAAACTTGTTGAAGTAATGGCTTCCGTATACCGTATGGTAATGATTCAATGGAATTAATTGTATTTAGTAGGTATACCCAGCACTGTGAAACAAAAATTCTATGCGGAGCGATCTTTTTCGTGAAATGTGGACAAAATATTCCCACAAAATTAAGGCGCCCTTGAAATAAGCGTTTTCGAGGAATTTTATTAATTATTTTTGTTGATATTCTGATACTCACATAACCCCAAAATAAATTTGCTTTGTTTTTAGAAGTAAGCTGTTAACCATATACCCTGAAATGTGTTTTTATTTGATTTACTTGCTTTTGGAAGGGCTAAAATGATATATTTCGAACATATTATAGAATATTTTTGATTGGATTTTGATAATAGTGAATGAATTAATATGGCTATTTTTACAATTTCGACCTATAGGGAGTTTTTCCCATAATTATTAACCAATAGCATATATTTTCCAGAATGCAGGTCCAAATAAACGTGCATTATTAACTTTGTGGTTAAATTTACCCATTTTAAGACCTAAAAATTACTTCTAGGTAAATTTAAATAAAGGCCGAAGCCAGAACTAGGTCCGATAACCGATAATGCATAAATGAAAGCGCCCCTGCTGAATCTAATTAAACCTCATTTTTGTAGGCCAATTTTATATAATCAGCATCTGATTACCACAAATATAATCAACACTACTTGTTGAAATTGCTGACTTTTTGTTAAATTAACAACCCATGGAAATGTGATACAATACAATACGGGGTGATACAATCTTTTTCGGTGGTCTTTGAGTGGCAGAACTCTTTTTAACTTCTCTATAGTATTGTGACGTGTTCATTCAAGCCTTGGTCCTTTTGGTTTTCAGCTTTTAGACATGTTCTTGAAACTAACAAGGGCGAACGAACACACTAAGGAAACGGCGGAAACGCAACCACAGCAAAGATAATTATTTAGGTTATAGGTTATAACACAAGAAATTCTAATTTAGAAGAAAACATAGCAGTGGGAGAAATATTTGCCATTGAAAGCTATTTTTGGGAGCATTAAATTTGAGAACATTTTTGCAAGTAATTTTTGACCTTAATTAAGACTTTCATACCTATAGGTCTCTGGAACTAGAACTATTTTCTTTAAAGTCCAGTTACAAAGTTGAAATTAGGCCAAATATTTACAAAAAAAATCCTTTTAACCTCAAGGTCTGTAATAAGGCTATTTAGCAGACACTTAGACCAATTTTTTACCAATATACCTAAATAACTTGGAAGGATTTTTTCTTGGTAATAAATGGGATAATTTTTACTTACTAGGATGACAAAAAAAAAACCTAACATTGAGTACCTATTTTAGGTTGATATTGAGTAAGTTATGACTCCTTAAATTGGGTTTTAAAACCTGAATTCTTTAAGCACTTTTAGAAGGTGAATATTTAGTAATTTTGAACCAATAGTTTCAACTTCTTAGTCAAATGTCTTCTAGGACTATAATCAGGTATACCATTACTAGTTTTGGAATTCCAGCTCAGCGCTTGAAGACATATTTTACTTAAATAACATTATTTAAGGAAACAATTACTAAAAGTTGATAAATTTAGGTAACTTTTTCTTGATTGGTAGTCTATTGCACCAAAATGCTAGTTGGGATTGCGTAAACAGATAACATTTGCGTGAGCCATTTTTGAAATATCTTAGCCCAAATTATAAATTATTTGCAAAGAAGTTTCATAAAGATCTCTATCTTTATAAAATTTCTTTGCAATTTATTGATTCACTAAGTCGGCTATTGAAATTTGCAATATTATGCGTTTTTTTTTTTTTTTTTTTTTTCTAGATTGCTTACCTACATCAAATCCTAAACTCAACCATGGGACTGTCTTACCTGACCTACACGGATATTCTTTTGTTTTCTCTGATAGCATTTCCAATAGGGCAACTTGACATTTTAAATTATATGCTGGAACATTTCGATACTTACAAACAAAAATTTTCAAATTCACATCAAATAGCTGATGCCGAGGTGGCTGCATTCTCCGTGTTTGTTGAGAACATTCGTAAACATCAGGAGATTATTGAGTAAGTTGAGAATGTTTTTATTTGCAATCATATATGTAATCTTGTCATTACTGACTTTTTAAAACTTTGGAAGTGACACTTTACCTGTGTCACTTCCCTCTTCGATTTTCCTCACCGATTTCCCTATTCGACTTCCCTCACCGATTTCCCTCACTCTAATTTATTTACCTTTGCTGGCAACAACTAAAACATGTCAGGTACAAATGACAAAGCTGCGAATGACACATTTTGACATGTTTGTTTTATTTTTTTAATATTAAAAAAATTGATTGACTAATCATAATTAATGGTGTGCTTGCAAATAAAATAGTATACAAACCTCGGAGGGAAGTTTTCATTTCTGTCTCGAGATTATCAGTCAATCTCGACGCTTCGCGTCTCGATTGACTATATAAGTCTCTCGACAGTAATGAAACACTTCCCTACTCAGTATGTAATATACTATTAATTTCACCTATCCACTGTTTTTTAACTTTGGTTTTGAAGAAGAAAAAATTATAATTATTGTTACGACAGAAAGGAAAAAAACAAGATCTAACATCTACATTTTAGGTATCCTTCTTTTTTAGGTACGTTGAACATTTCAATGCAGCAATGAGTGCCTTAATGGTTCTCGAATTTCTACATTTCTCTCTTGAGAATGCTTTAATTTGTCTTCGAGCTGTGACGGTAAAAAAATAATTTCTAGTATAGAAATCATTTCTACCTTACATTAAATTTGCAGATCATTAGTCCTGTGATAGTTTTTCTCGTGGGTCTTCAGATGGTCACCCTGTTCGTTAGATTATTCTTGTACTATTACTATGCAAACGAAGTTATTGTTCGGGTAAGTGATAATTTCATTTACAGTTTTACAGTGTTCGGTCTGCTTACTTTTTCCCAGAGCAACAATTTGTCAAATTCAATTTGCACCAGCAATTGGTACGATCAACCGCCACGTATTAAAGTTTTAATGCAAATTATGATGCTGAGGTCTCAAAAACAACTTTCATATACTATCGGTCCTTTCACCGAAATGTCATTGAATTCTATGATTGCGGTAAGTGCGAACATCTATTAGCTAATAATATTGTATCACCAGTATTTCTATGCACTACGAACTACGAACCAAGTTGTTGGTCTCTTCTTAGAATTATTTTAAGTTTGTTAGAAGTAAATGTAGAATTTGTATACTTTCAGAAAAGATAACCTAGGGTCGTGAATTCAAAGAAAAATTAAGATAACGTGTAGCCCCTTTGTGTGCAAATGAAACCATTCAACATCCAACAAACAATAATTATATTTTGTGTACAATGTTATGTAACATGTTATTTTCTGTAAAATGTACAGTTGACAGCTTGGTTGTTCTGGTGAATCTGACACCATATACCTTTTCAATCTGGAGCTCTTCAGTGGGTGTTGGGGTTTCACTTTAGTGAACTGGAGCTCTTCGTGTGGTCTCCTGTATCCAGGAAAAGGATAGATTGCTGGGGTGACGTCACTCCAGCTGATCCAGACTCCAAACAGTGATCTTTATGTAGAGTATGTACCCAGAAAAGAATAAGGCAGTATCAGGTTCACCAATATTTGGAACATTTATTTCCTGAATTCTGTCAAAAAGTGAGTATCTTGCATAGGAAATTGAAATTGAAATTTAGTATAAAATGATTGTTGCACAGACACTGCTTTCAACAGAATCAGGTATAAAAACTATTGCAAGTAAAAAAAATTAATATTTTAACATAAAAAAAAAATAAATGAATAATTAAGAATAGGTAAGATTAAACAATGATAATAGTAAAATAAAATAATAACAAGATTTAATTATAATGATTATAATGCTCGTTATAATTGAGCAAAATGCTACTTTCTTGATAACAGTTCTGGCAGGCAAAAATAAGGTAGGTAAAAAAAAAAAAAGATTCTCCCCTAAATAGACAAAATTTTCCTCTCAAATTAAGGTAGCCACAGGTACTAGATAAACCTGGGGTTGAAATTAATCAAATCCAGAATGTGTCAAAATTCTTGAGATGTTTTAATTAAAACCTTTTAACTGAATTTTTGACCTGTTTGGATTTCTATTAAAAAATTACACCCTTCAGTTGGGATAATAATTTAGGGAGTCAAACAGATAATGGTTGTTCAGGCCTCTGCCTGGATTCAATAGTTAATGGGGATGGACTCACAAATTTGGTTCTCACCGACTCTATTTAGAGCAAATGGTCCAATATTCCCACCTAAAAATTGATTCTGAAAACCAGGGCAGCAGTACCTATTTAAAATCCAAAAATCTTTTGACTTACCTCTTATAACAAAATGTGGCACCAACCAATAAGCAATTCACACAAATTGGAAGCCAACAATTAGATTAAAAAAAAATTAAAATATAATATTTATATTTCAAAAACAGATAAGATTTAACAGGTAAAAACTTAATAAAGATATGATAATTTGAATATTGAAATATTTATAAGGGAGGATCCAGAAATTCAAAGCACAAAATTATTTTAAAAATAAACTGGACTTGCCTGCCAGACTAGTTTTCAAGGAAAAAGAGCGTTTTAGAAACCACAGCCAGCAGGAACACAATCCCGTGTTTTTTATACTTACTGCATTCCAACCAGCTTCAACCAATCAGACGAGTACACCCAACAGACCAAATTCACTTCAAAATGAAAACACAATGAAAGACCGCATGGAATAAAAGAGAATGGATAAAAATCCACTAAAATTATTTCAATTGTTTACAAATTATAAAAATTCAAATTAAGGTTATGTCAAAAATAAAAAACTGTTAATTAATCAGATCATTAAGCCAAAAAATGATTATTTCAGAATCAGAAGTTAAAAAAGGACAGAAATATATCCATTTGCTAAAAGTGAGATAAATATAACTTCTTTCAATGAAAATACAAATGACTGTCAAATGCGAATTAACCAAAAATCATGCTTTGAAAAATAAACCATCGGGCACTAAATGGCAGTACCGGTAAGATATCCGCACTTTACGGACATGATAGATAGATGGCAGCACTTGTATTATTTGAATTTGAATTTAAATTTGAATTTGAGGAGATTGATTATTTGGATGATTCTGAGATGGAAAAAATACTACTTTATAATGAAAATCAGAAGAGATGGAACATGTTACGTAGATGAAAAATTTATCGTAACAAGTTTAGATACTCTACCTATGAACGTACCTCATACGTGACAAGTTAGCATCTTTTGTAATATGAATTTATTTATTTCAGGTTATCAGAGCTACCTATTCCTATGCTATGCTGATTTACAATACTAACGGCTAGAAGTTTCAGGGCACCAACCAGATTCACTGCAGTAAAAACACAGATTCAATTAGGCTACCTAGTGTTTCACTTTTTTTATTTTAGTACAAACAGCGATTTAATTAAGTTTTCTTGTTAATGTTCCTATATAGCTACTATTTTTAATACTACAGCGGAATAATGCTATTTTTGTTATCGCACGTAAACTGAATGAAACAAAAAATCACCAGAAAAAAGGCACGTCGAGTTATCATTGTATTTTTGATTCAACTAGTCTGTTCTGTCAAGTCGTACAGGGCATTCCATTGGCCTATCAAAAATGGCGGCTGTCAAAAGTTAGCCAGGGCAGGCAAATGTTAATTGCGTAATACTTATTTGTGCAACCAGTTGGGAAAAGCATTATTTTTCGTAACGAGCAAAAGAAAGCGAGTTACGAAAAATAGTGTTTCCCAACATTTCTAATTTTGTATATTATGATCTGATCCATTCAAATTCGAGTCAAAAATGTCACTTCTATAATTATTTTTAAACCGTCAAGTGTGTTCAGAGATGTTTCCTATTCCGTTGCTATGTAAGCCAGTATTGTTTATTGTCAAGTCTGTCCACTCAAACCGGTCATTGTTTTCGGCAATCATCGACTACCTACTCTGCTTGTAGATTCTGTGAATGATTTGCTGAGCATTAATAATAGCATGGGGTCGAAGTCTAATACAGTCGCTAAGGACTATGTGGAAAATTCCATAACTATAATAAACAGAAAATTGTCACTAACATCCTTGCAGAGACTTCCATGAAAAAAACATTCAATTTATTCATTTAATTAACAATACATAGAAAACTATGTTGTCAATATCATCAATAATAATTGTTCAAATTGAGTTAAGTATTAATATATTTAACTTATTAGTTTTTTTCCATACATTGTCGTAACTAATTTGAATAAAATTAAATCTTCATATTATGTACGTACAAAGAATATAATAACAACAAAGTACTTCAAGTAGTTCAGCCCCAAAAGTAGATTTTGTTCCTGTATTTTTTGCAACTAATGGTGAAATTTACTTGTCATCACCAGTTGCGATAACTTATACTTTTCGTAACTGGTGATGAAGAGTAGACATTTGATAAGTCAATGAGTTTTGAAAAGTGTCACTTTAAATGTTAGAATTAGAAAAAATTATTGGTGAAATGCCTGCATTTTGTTGTGTAGTGAAATGTAGTAGTAGGGGAGAACGTGACGACGTTAAATTTCATAAAATACCATTGGAATTGAATCGAAAACATCCTGATAAAGTTAAAAAAAACGAATTATCAAACTAAGTAACACTTGAGTGATACAAACGAATTGTGTGCCCTGGCTGATTTTCTTTTTGTTGGAATGCCCTATTGATAATCTGTCAACGAATCAAGAATACATCTACGTTTAGTAAATAGATTTTCCAAAAATAAGTAAAAATTTCGCTCCGGCTCCAAAATAGTCAGTCCACACTAATTATTGTAGTGCTGGTATCTATTGTGTATGCTTCACAGTTAGTAGAACAATAAGTAAAATAAATATGTATTGTAACCCCTTTTGTTAATGAATTAATTATGGGTCCATAAAATGCTCAGCTTAGCTCAGTTAATTAGGTGTGGCTCAATTGTGTATACAGTCTGATTTGGACGCCACTGAATTTTATATACAGGGTGTCCCAGCCGAGAGTGACCCATTTTAAATGCTTATAACTTTTAAACCAGGTGAGCTAGCTACCTGCGGTTTGTGCCATTCGATTTCTTTTGGTCTAAAGCTCCAGTAGGTTTCAAATTTTTTTGAAACTTATACAGGGCAAGTAAAAAAAATCCGTTTTTCAACATCGAAATTCTCCACTATTTCTAATGGAACACCCTGTATATCACAACGTCAAAAAAAAGATTCATGTTTAAGGTTTCCATGTACCAATAGACATCGTCCCTAAAACTTGAAGTTTTAGCCGAAAAAAAATCAAAATCGAAATCTTGGTATTTTTGCAAACGCATGCAACTTCATGTTGTAGGAACTTGATATCACTATGGCAAACAGTTTTGTAACTGTCTAGTTTTTTTTTTTTTTTTTTTTTTTTTTTTTTTACGGATATGCGCACTCGCAAGGACAATGTCCTATCACGCTCGAGAAGCGGCAAGTGCGCGGAAATGTCGGTGTATGTTGGTCTTGAAACGGTTCAGGTTGTAACCTGCAGGGAAAACCGTCGCAGGGAGTTTATTCCACAGCGATGCTGTTCTCCAGAGATATGAATTCTGATATAGTGAGGTTCTTGGTGCCTCTAGTTTGACAGTAAATTCATGGTTACCGTCTGTTTGACGCGTTCGCCTGGTAGGTGCTACTCTCGGTGGAATCATACGTGCCAACTCTTCAGAGCATTTTCCGTGATAGTACCTGTAGAAGAGAGATAAATCGCCCACAGATCTGCGATGTTCGAGACCATCCAAGTTACGAGTAAGTGCGGGGTCATTGATCAGCTTGATAGCTCGTTTTTGCACGGTATTCAAAAGCATTAAGGTATGTTTGGGTGCAGCACTCCATATATGTGAGCAGTACTCCATAGTTGGTCGAATCTGGGCTTTGTAGAGTGTCAGCAATTGGCTTGGTGTGTACAGATGTCTTGTACGAAATAGCACCCCCAGCTTTTGGGAGGCCCTTTTAGCAATATCTGCCACGTGACTGTGCCAAGACATGTTGGTCTCTGCAGTAACCCCCAAGATGTTCAACTGACTCTGTAATGTGACAGCACTTCCA